CAGTGAGCTCAGGTACCGTACAGTGCTGAGTGACTGAGTGTGATGAGCGAGAATTGAGATAGTCAAATTGAGTATTCTGAGAGTTTGAGTACGTGAGGTTTTCATTGTGTTGCATCACATGTGACATGCACATTGACATGTAGATATAGAGATGTAATATTCCTCATATCGGTCATACTTGGCATATTTTATCTGTGTTGAGCTTAACTGTTAAACCTAGAAGCATGTCTACATTCCTATAGATTATGAGTTTCTCTAAGATATTATTGTCATATAACCTGTCATATATGTATTGTTAAAAAATCTGTATTTGGATTATATTTGTTGAGCTCGTCACTGCTTTCAGCCCAAGATTAGTCTTATTACTTATTGAGTACATTGGATTGGTTGTACTCATACTACACTCTGCACTTCGTGTGCAGATCCAGGTACTTCTGAGCACGGCGGTTGTTAGCTTTGGAGCTTTATCTATCGGAGACTTTTGAGGTAGCTGCCTTGGCGTCCGCAGACCTTGACTCTCCTTCTTTTTAGGTATTTGTACTGTTCTACCTTTCTGGACAGTGTTTAGCAGTCAGATTATGTTGTCAGTTAGATACTCATTTACTTAGTGACACCACGATTTCTTGAGCTTATTTTACTATGTTTCCAAATTTAAAGATGCCTCGTTTATTGTGATTGTCGGCTTGCCTAGTATTGTGATAGACGTCATCACGACATGTGAGATTTGGGTTGTGATAGATAAATTGTATATGAAATTTTAATTAAGCTAAAACCTCTCTGGTGAGGGTAAATAAGTTTCTAATATAGTATAGATAGGTAAAAATGTTATTTCTCAATTGCAGAACTGCAAACTCTACGATGGCATCATTGATTTCTCAATTGTATAACTACGAATTCCATAACATTATTCTTGATTTCTTAATTGTAGAACTACGAACTCTATGATGCCATTATTGATTTCTCAATCGTAGAACTATGAACTCCATACACTATTCTTGATTTCTTAATTGTAGAACTACGAACTCCATACGCTATTCTTGATTTCTTAATTGTAGAACTACGAACTCCATGGCATCGTCCTTGATTTCTCAATTGTAGAACCATGAAATCTATGACGTCATGCTTGATTTTTCAATTATAGAACAAAGAACTCTATGACGTCATCTTTAATTTCCCAATTGAAGAACAACGAACTCTGTGTCATTATCCTTGATTTCTCACTTATAGAACCATGAACTCCATGACATCATCCTTAATTTCTCAATTTTTGAACCACGAACTTCTTGACATCATCCTTGATTTCTTAATTGTAGAATAATGAACTCCATGACATCATCCTTGATTTCTCTATTGTAGAACCACGAACTCTATGACATCATCCTTGATTTCTTAATTGTAGAACTACGAACTCTATGATGTGATCTTTGATTTCTCAATTGTACAACCATGAACTCCATGTTGTCATCTTTGATTTCTCAATTGTAGAACCATGAACTCCATGATGTCATCCTTGATTTCTCAATTGTAGAACTACAAACTTTATGACGTCATCCCTAATGTCTCAATTGTAGAACCATGAACTTTATGATGCCATCCTTGATTTTTTAATTATAGAACTACGAACTCTATACCATCATCTTTGATTTCTCAATTATAAAATAACTAACTCCATGTCATCATCCTTGATTTCCTAATTGTAGAATCATGAATTCCATGACGTCATCCTTAATTTTTAATTGTTAGAACCACAAATTCCTTTACGTCATCCTTGATTTCTCAATTGTAGAACTACGAACTCCATGACGTTGTCACGACCCAAATCCTTACATTGGAGTAGTGATGGAACCTAGTCTCTAAAGTTAAGTAAGCCGATCACTTATCAACATTTAAATCAGTAAAATATGATAAAATAAAGCAGAGTATAACATAAATGCGGAAATAAAGAAAATATAGGCCAACACGACGATAATCACAACATATCCCCGGAACTAGGTAGTACAGAATCACGAGCTCTAACTGAATAGATGAGATTATCTAGAAATATAGTACTAAATTCACATCAAACAACATCGATTCTACGGATCACAACCCAAATTCAAGTCTATGCAACTATAAACTTCCGAATTTCGAAACCAATACCGATTCATACCAAAACAACTCTGATTGACTTTAATTTTTTCAAACAAGTCATAATTGACATTAGGGACCTATTCAAACTTCCAGAATCGGGAGCCGACCTCAATATCAATAAAGTCAACTCCCAATCAAACTTTTCAAAATCTCCCATTTTTCAACTTTAGCCAGTTCATGCCGAAACGACCTACGGACCTTCAAATCAACATCCGGACACACTCTTAAGACCAAAATTACCATACGGAGCTATTGGAATCATCAAAACCCCATTCTAGAGTCGTCTTCATACAAGTCAAACTACGATCAACCTTTACAACTTAAACCTCCAACTTAGGAAATATGTATCCCATTTCACTCTGAAACTCACCCGAAACCAAAGCCAAACACCCTGACAAGTTACATAACCACAATGTAGCATAGAGGAGGTAATAAATAGGGGATCGGGACTAAAAAAACTCAAAACACCGGCCGGGTCATTACATAGTTGAGTTGAAACCTTAAGTTTATTTTATGTGTGATTCACCCCTGTTAGTCGAGAAAATAATTACATAAACACAATCACCTCAGATATGTTAATTAAACCATGTTTTTGAGCCCTTCTTGATGTCCTGTTAAGACCTCATACCTATTGTACTGTGCTAATTGATCTTTATGTCTGTGATGTCATGTTGTATAGTTTCCGTTCAACAAAAATGACTTCCACCCTTGTCCATTCTCCCATATTGAACTTGTTTGACCCTAGCTGACAGTCTATTCATGCTACTATGATGAAATGATCTATGTGTGTTCCTCATGATAAAGAAGACATATAACAAACCTTGTTAGTATATCAGACAAACATGCTCTCATATCTGTATATAATTTGTTATGATTAACCCCTATAATTAGTGTTAGTGTTTGCCATATCATGACTGTTTAAGCATTGTAATGAAAACCACATGAAGCTCTGGCTACTACGTTGATTGAATAACTCTTCTTAATTTCTATACTTGAGCTCACAGATGTCACAATAATTCAACTGTGTCCATGGACTATTATATGATCTTAGCTTGAGGAATTTTGTATTTATATCTGTGTGTTAACTCTGTACCTGCCATGATTCTGATCTTTCTATGATGTTGTATTGGTAATTTCCATGATTCTGACCTTTCTATGATATTGTATTGGTTTAGTGAATAATTCTCATTAAGAGACGTGTTCCTAATGATCATGATGACATGTTCTTACTTGAATGACTCTAACTGTTAGACTTGACCATGACACTATACTATTCTGGTTCATGTATGCCTGTCATAATAACCTGTACACAAAATTTTGCATTGAGTTTTGTTGACATACTTTGTTAGTGAACCTGGTCACATGTTCAAATGTTAGTTTATTTTGATTTGTTTGCCTTACAAAGTTAAAGTAAATATTATTACCTATTGTCTTATGCATGTTGATCTTGCTTCTTATAGAGGACTTAACCTGAAGTTGTTTGGGTATGAAAATTGGGGAGTCTGATAGGCTATGTATTGTTATAACTAGATATCATGTCATTAGGATTAAACAAGACTAAAATTAACTTCCCCATTCAGGTTGATGTCTCTTCTGGCCTGATTGGTTGGCATGCCCTTTTAGGAATGTTGAATGAATCTATTAGCCTAAGTGTTTAATGAGATGGGGCCTTAGTTGGATGTATGCCTGCTCTCAAACTATGCTGAAGTTATTAAAGTAAATGTAAATTTTTCTTATGACCTTAATTTACTTAGGAGAGACAGGAAGAATGGCGGGAGCTTTTGACCAATCTGAGCGAAGAATTCATTAACTAGAAACTTTCTTGGTAGATTGGTAGAGTGATCATGAGAAGCAAGGGGAAATACTTCATCGAGTTGGTGGGTCTTGAAGGTACTCAAACGTATGCACCACTGAGGGTTCTGGGACAGTTTGGATTGATTCAAGACGTGCCTCTCCGGTTCAAGAACAACTTTGTACAAACATGATTACAACAGGCAGATTTCGATCCCAAGGGTAAGAAGACTCCAGGGCGAGTGGAATGACCTGATCACAATGGGAATGGGGCAAAACTCCTGGTGCACACCTGAATATTTTGTGTGAATCAATAAAGAAGATGAATTGGTCAAGCCTAGTAGAGAGGTATTAATGGGATTGGAGGACTCGGCAGCAGCCATATGAATATACCATGAGATCCTACCCCACTACCTTGTCACCAATGCCATGTATCAACATGTGATTCCGGTATTGGTTGATCACATGCTGTTGTTGCCGGATAATGACAACCAGATAGTTGAATACATACAGATCGAGCCTGAGACAGAATCAGAGGAGGATCCAGAAGAGAAACCAGAGTACAATCATGATGAGGATGAGGAGGAGGTGGAAGAGGATCCTGAAGATCCAAAAGAAGAGAGCCACTGCGAATAAACAATGATATAATGGCGGTTATTTTTACGTTTTGCAACAGTTTCAAACTTCCATAATACGCATTGATAACATTTTTAAAACCCGCCATAATCCCGTCCTCCACAAGCGTAATACGGAAGTTTTCACAAAACCGCCATAATTGTCGAGCGGATAATACGACAGTTTTCATTTGTATAATATGGCGGTTTGAAACCGCCGCAATTCGAAATCATGTGCCAAAACATACTGCATATTATGGCAGTTAATAATCACCCTTATTGTACATTTTTAGTGCCGTAATTTTAGATTAATTTATTTATTAGAGTAATTTTTTTATTCCACATCTACATTATACTTACTACACCTTATGCTTCTAATCATCTATGATGCTTTAAAAAGCAATAAATTTGACAAAAATATAAAGTTTCAAACGTAAAAGATCTTCATTGTATAAAACACACAAGTACTCCAAAATACATCATCAAATATCTTAAGTTTTAAAGAATTATTCAACAAAAGATCCAAAAAATAAAACGATATTTGACCCTAACAATGATTACTAATTAACACATGTATGGTGATCTTTTTGGCTCAATTGGAAAAGTGACATACTGTCTAGAAAGTCAGAAAAGAGCAAGTTTACAAATATCATGGGTATAGTTTCTAATATGAATGTCCGATATCATATATTATATAGCTCACAACTCAGGTTTCGCCATGCTTTTGTGTTTGTAGTCTTGTTAAATGAAAGAACTTGTAAGTTCAGATTCACAGAGTAAGCCTTCTCCAAAATATTACGATGTTAAAACCAAAATACTAAGAAGTTAAAACTTGCCCTATGTATGGCCTTCTCCAATATATGTTCATCATCATCAATCATGGGTGAATACCTTGAATAGGACAAGATTGCTTTTATTTTCTGCAGGATAGAGATCATGTCATCGCACTTTCTCTCTACCAGCCTCAAGAATACTATCTGAACAACAAATGAGTATCAAATATTAAAATTCAAGGTTTGATTTAGCAATTTCCAAAACAAGGTGACTAATTAATATGTGTTCTAAGTTTCTGTCTCTTAAAGAGATCAAGGATATAAGGGAAGTTTTCTTCTAGTCAGTGATTTGATTATTTTCCATAAAATATCATTAGGAAAAGTTTTTTAATAAAAATTGGACATTACATGTTGCATCTCTAACATGCACATCGTAGTAGAAAAATTAACAGAAAAAGTTACCAGGCATTTGAAACACATGATTATAGACGCTATCAGTCATAAAAGAATGTCGACCAACTTCAGTTAGATTTATACGACTGATCCAAACAAAGGTTAGAATATAAAAACAAGAAATATTATTCTCATCTTCAGAAGATTTGTGGACAATAATTCTAAGTCAAACTCTCGTAAATATTGAAACTTATCACCAATCAGACTATGCAAAGAATTTAACCAACAAAGTAAATAAAAGAACGGAAACACAAAAGAAATGTGATTAAGAAGCGAAGATCCCTTTTGAGTAGAGCCTCTAAATTTGTCCAATCTCAGTAGAATAAACATATATTAGAAAAGACTGATTACTCAAAAGTTTAACAAAAATCAGAAATCAACGAAATTATTTTAGTAGAAAAAGCATGATTAATAAGTAAAACTAGACAACTCTTCATGTACTAAACTTGATTACGAGTTACTCTAGTAGTTAAATCTCATAAGAAAGTCAAATTGCCGGTTTATCCTAATTCTCTTTCTTTTTTTATTTCTCAGACAACTTTATTTCTATATTGCACAACAACTAGTCAATCTGATGGATAAAGATGACATAAAACTGGAAAATTTCCTTCTGCTTCTTGTGGTACTACCTATTAGCTTCTTCAAGGTAGAGTTTTATCAGTATATCTAATTGTGTTTGTCCTGAAATAGCTGTCATAAGTTAAAAACTTATATAGTCAATTTGATTATAAATATATGGTCATTCTTATATGATTCTTCTTTTCGTGAGGTTTATTATCAATTGAATTTACGAATATCGGGCTATTAACTATAGGATAAAGGGAACACGAGAGTAACTTTCTCATACACGTCACCAAGTCACAAGTCAAGAAACACACAGCCAAGCAAACAATGACTCTAGTTTACATATAGTGCAAAACTCGGACTAAAAATGTGTAATGACCCGACCGGCCGTTTTGCTTTCTAGATCTCCGTTTCTTTATTTAAGACTCTTCATATGTGATTTTATTGTTTGATGACTTGCGGGGATGGTTGGTTTGGTTTTGGAAAGGTTCGGGTTAAAATCGGAACACTTAGTTCCTTAATAGTAGCCTAAGATGGCCAAGTTGGACTTGAGTTAATACTTTGAGTAAACGACCTCAGAACCGGTATTGATGGTTCCAATAGGTTTGTATGATAATTTTGGACTTGGGCGTATGTTCGGATCGGTTTCGTGTAATCCGGGAGCGTTTCGGCGCTTAATGTTGAAAGTTGGCGCCTTGTGATGGTAGGCTATAATCTCGTATTTTAGTCACTTATTGCACTCTAATTTACTGCACTTTACTTATTTTGAGCTTTAATTGATAGTATTTTTCACTTATTGCATATTTTATGCCTTGTAGAAATGATTCCGAGTTATGTAGATATTGTGGAGCTAAATCAAATAATTGGAGCTTTGAAGTCTGAGTAAAAGCCCAAGGGATTAAGCCGGGATCGTGTTCGGGGGTCGAGGATCACTTTTGGTTGTCAAAAATCAAGGAAGAAGCAACACTCTGAGGAAATGCACTGATGCGACGCACCATGCATAGAACTATGCGACGCATCAGTGCAAATGTACGTCAGAAATTTAAGAAGTTCAGAGACTTGTAATTTTTGGGTCTCACAAAAAAATACACTAATGCTAGGCATAGTGCATGGCATAGTGCGTAGCATCAGTAAAAAATTCTGTCAGACAAGCTAAGTTCATAGAGTTTACGACCGAGAAAATTGCACTAATGCGATCCACTGGGCATAGCATAGTGCGACGCATGAAAAGCATTAAGTTTGCAAGTTTTTCTATTACGGCTAGAAAAGGGTGATTTCGTTTGGGCCCGACCCTACTTGGTATAAATACATGGAAAAATATTATTTTCTAAAAATTTTGACACACTTTAGACCTAAGGAAGCCAAGGAGGAGCAAAAGTACAAGGATTTCATCATTCTTTCCTCACTCAAGACCCGAGTTTGGATTGAATTTATGTTTTCCCATACGTTAATTTTATTTGTGACGAATTTCTCCATATCTATGGAGTAGTGCCCTTTAGGGTTTGATGGATATGGTGTATTGATGATTGTTTGTGGATTATAACTCTAGTTTTATGTATTGAAGCATTTTTGGATGATTTAACTGTTGCATCTATATTCACTTGTTCATGTAATCGAGAGAGGCATAACTTGTGACAAATTTATATTATTTTGTTGGTTGAGTTCATAGATTCTTCTTAGTAATCGAAAGAGTCTAGTTGAATCATTGATTAAACCTAGTTAGGAGAATAACCGAAAGATATTTTCCTAAAGACCAATTCACTACGCATTCTTGCATATCATCACGTGCTTAAATTAGTTCATCTTGTGAGGTTGAAACTTAATCGAGAGAGGAGTTTTTGCTAAACGGTTGAACTGATAATTGAGTGAATTCAAGAGACTCACTTAAACATTACAAGTGAATTATCTAGAGTTATATCCCAAATAATTATCTTACACCTATCCTATCAACCCCTATTTCCTCCCACTGATAACTTTCTTGTTTCAATTGTCATTAGTCAATAGCTTTAGATCTTAATTAATTTTAATAAAAAATTATATAAATCTCAATTGTTGATCATCTTGGATAGCGATCAAGCTAAAAACTATGAGAATACTGTTTAAATCCAATCCTTGTGGATACAATATTATACTATACTATATTTGATTAGCGAGCATAAATTAAGTGTGTGTTTCGAGCTCGTCACCTTGAAGTTTTAGAGTTTTGTAAATTTGGTTTGAAGTAGGCTTTGGTGTTATCGATATCCGTTTGGGATTTTGAGCCCGAGAATAGGTTCGTATGGTGATTTGTGACTTGTGCGTAAAATTTGACGTCATTCCGAGTTGTCTAAGTATTGTTTGTCGCATTCGGAGCTAGTTGAAGAAGCTTAAAGTTCATAAGTTGAATATTTTAGTTTTAGGGAGCGATTCTTTATTTCGATGTTGTTTTACATATTTCGAGTAGGTCTGTATTATGTTTACAACCTTGTTGGTGCAGTTGGACGGGGTCCCGAGTGGCTGGGGTGTGTTTCGGACCACACGAAGTTAAGTCCAAATTGCAGAAATTGCTAGTGCTTGTTTTCTTCTTTACGAACACGAAAGGATTCTTGCATTTGCGATAAAGGATTTGGAGGTTGGGTAATATTTTTCTTCATGTTCGCGATGTATGGGTCGCGTTCGCGTATAAGGGACTGGTCTGGGGTCAGAAGCCCTTTTGCCCTTCCCGTTCGCGCAGGGCCGGTCGCGTTCGCATAGTGATGGATTGGCTAGCCTTCGCAATTTTGAGGTGCTGATCACGCTCGTGAATAAGGCCTTTGGGGCGAGGAGCAGTTTTGCCTTCGCAATCGCGAGGCTTCTTTCGCGATCGCGAGGCTTCTTTCGCGATCACGAGGCTTCTTTCGCGATCGCAAAAAAGGATTCACTGGGCAGAAACTTTTAATAATCGGGATTTAGCTTATTTCCTTCATTTCTCACATTTCTTGGCCGATTCTAGAGCTTTTTGGAGAGATATTTTCACCTAGCAATTGAAGGTAAGTAATTTCTATATAATGTGAGTTTAATACATAGATTATGGGTAGATTTTAACATAGAAATTGTGGAAATTATGGGATTATATTAAAACTCCTAGGTTTTGGTAAAAATGGGATTAGACCACGAAAATGATTATGAAATTGAGTATAAATTATATATTTGAGTTTGTAAGGTTACGGGTAACATTTATCTATAAAATATTTCAAAATCCGGGCACGGGGGCCCGATCGTGACTTTTAAGAATTTTCCAAATCGGTTTGGGTAATTATTCTAATAGTTAAATTGAGAACTTTTGAGCATATATTGATTAGTTTGTATGACTTTTGGTTGGTTTCGAATTGCTCGGCATCGATTTGAGGCTATTAGTGTGAATTGAGGATCGGGGAGAGGACTTGAAAATGAGGTAAGTCTCTTGCCTAAACTTGTAAGAGGGAATTAACCCCATAGGTGTTTAAATGGTTATTTGTTAGTAATTGTGGGTGCTATGTACGCACAAAGTGACGAGAGTTCGTACGTAGTTAAAAATAATGTTATGTCCGGGTAGACATAGGACTTTATTATACAATTACTTGTACTATTTGAATCCAACTTGGTAATTTAATTGCTTGTATTAGTAAGTGAGACTTGATTAGAGACTATATCAGACCAAGCTTTGTTACTTTGGGTTTTGGCGAAATATTCGATTATTGATAGAAAATTTATGTTCCTTTATGTACTTATCTTGTTGTTGTAAACGTATATCCTGTAGTCCGAAGAGTTCCCCTATTCCTATGGATCGGGCGGAATACCTCGGCAATATTTATATATAATGAGATGTATCCCTGAATCGGTCTGTACGACCTCAGTAGTGTATGTACACGATTATTATGGATCGGACCATACGACCTCAGCATAACTCGTGCGTGATGTTTCAAGGAGTCCGATTATACTCGATATTTCCTTCATGACTTGAGAAATTATAATTACTTGCTGGCTCTTATTGGTTGAAATTGGCATGTGATATTTGAGGACTTTTAAATTGATATTTTGTTAAAAAATCACTTATTTATTGCTTCTTATTCCATTGTTACTGTTTTATTTCATGCCTATTTATAATTCTTGCACTTTATATATATTGACCACTAGTAAGTATCGATGTCGATCCTTCGTCACTACTTTTTCGAGGTTAGACTAGATACTTATTGGGTATGCGTTGTTTTACATACTCACGCTACACTTCTGCACAAATTGTGCAGGTACTGAGGTAGGTACATCTGGTGTCCGTCCAGGCACGTATCTGCATTACCCTAGACCTAGTGGTGAGCTGCTTTCCATTCTCCGATCTTCAGCACCCGGGTTGTATTTACTATTTCTATCTATTTTATTTCAGACAGTAGTTGTAGAGGTTTTGTATATTCTACTAGATTGCCCGTGCGCTTGTGACACCGAGTTTTGAAAATTGCTAGTAGATATTTATGGTTTATGCCTATTTATTTTACTACTTCACTCTTATGTTTTATTTTATGCTTTACATCACCATGACCATTTATTATTGGTTTCTTTATTAAATAAAAATTCATGACTTTAAAAATAATAAAAAAAATAATTAAATGGATAGTTCACCGTTGGCTTACCTAACGGCAACATTGGACGCCATCACAGCCTATACTGGGTATTTGGATCGTGACAGAGTGAACACGACACAACAAAGCAGAGTCAACAAGAAATAGTAAAGTGCTCAAAAAAATGTTCAGTAGTACAGTGCAAATTCTAAGTACCAGAAACACAAGACAAGCATAGAAAACAAAGGAGAATGTGAGTGGACTTCAAGTGTTCATACATTTCTTAGAATTGTTGAAAACAAAAACCTTATAAATTTGCAGAGGCGGAGGAAATAGGTAGAAGCAGCAACAACTAGCAACTTTTTGACGGCAAAAATGTTATTCCCTTATCACATAGGCGGAAAAGGAGAATAAAATCACTCAATCTCAAAAACAATTCCATCTAAAAATGAAAAAGAGAATAATATCACTCCAAATGATATCATAGTCAATTTCATAAGAACAACCCAATTCTTCAACCAATTCCATTTCACAACTGCATTGGATGATATAACATTAAACGACCAAAAACACTCTACTCCATACACAACTCTTGTTTGTCAACTAAATTTTAACGACAAATTAAATAATTTATTAGAGCAGCAGATACATACAACAAAACCCTAGATCTACTAACTACATTCAAAGAACAAAAGCAAACTAACAATGAAACCCTAAATCCACATGAATAAATAATCAACACATAGAGAAAATAGAGAAGACCTTGTTTAGAGATGGGATTTGACATCATCGGAGACCAGAAGCTTCGTTGTTCTTTTTCCAAATCAATGCCACCATATCACTGGCCAATCGAGGGCCTTCGCGAGAAGAGGGAAAGAGAATATGCACAGAGAGAAGGGGGAGTTGACGATGATCTGTGATACACTGCCGATGAGAGATTTGTGGGCGGGAGAGATGGAGATTGTATAAAGTAGGGTTTATTCGGGGTATGGAGAGTGACGAGGGATTTCTAATTTGTGAGAGTGAGATATCCTTGCTTTTTAAGATAAATCAAACAAATATATGAAAAGTTATAATAACACAGTGGCGGTTCAAAACAGCCATTTTATGTATCGAATCATTGTTTAACCGTCGTATTAAAATCGCCTTAATAACTCCTTTTTATGTAGTGAGCTTGGGAGGAGACTCCAGGAAAGACTATTGCATTACTCGTTGATTTCCTCTTTGTACTTTTCATTCCCTAAGGGAGATTCTATAAGCCCATGCAACCCCTTTGTAAACCCAGTAAAATCATATTGTAGCTATTGGAAAAGTAACCCCCCCCCCCCCAAATGAAGTCTTTGAAACCCGCTTGTAACCGACAAAATTCCACCAATGAAAGATTAAGTTTGCTCCGGATCCGAATGTGCTGGAATCTGATTGTTTGTCAAACGCTTGCAACATAGGCCTACCTCCGGCAAAGAGAGGTCCTTACATATCTTAGGAAACGCACTTGTCTGAATATGTGAACTAACTGCTCTATGTGATTATATCTATGCAAACGCTAAGACTAACTTCTACTTTTCTTTATTTTCTTGCTTTATCGCTTTATTTATTTATCCCCGAAACAGAGATTGATTTATGTTGATACCTAAAACTACACGATCCACAGTATAATCTAAGGTCCAAAGGGAAGATGACTACTACAGACAACCCGATCGGAAATGCTCTGGTGGTAGCCGACAAGCAAGGGGGGATCAGGGGAAAGGACGAGACTCGGAATGATAACATGTTGCCCGAATAGAACAAGAAATGGAGTCGCTAAGGGAAGAGGTAAAACATATCAGGGAATTGGCTCACATGGTCATGACGACGCTCCCACAACCACCCAATTTTCCATCGCTCGATTCACTCCTAACCATTTTCCTCCATCAACCCGACAACCTACTAATACCCTAACTACTATCACCACAAACCCCGCTGTAACCCAAGTCATACCACATGTAACCCCGGCAAACCCTCCAAATCCTCCCATACACACACCCTATGTTCCCAATTATGTTTAGGCTCCAGAAAATCCACCAGCCACCGCCAATTTGGTCTACACCCCTCCTCATGACAATTTTACTTTTACCAACAACCAGACTCAGTATATACCAGCGGCACACACCTCCACACATGAGCGGTATGTTCCACCCATATATGTTGCTTCTAAACACACCTTTACTGCACCTTTCACGGCCAGAGTGCCTTATGAGATAGACCAATATACTGAAATGGAGAGAGAAGCAAAATGCCAGGAAGAAGAGTCATTGTCGGAACAACTACGTGTATTAAGCAAACGAATAAAGAACCTCCAAGTTGCTCGAGGGAGAGAAAGCTTGGATTATGAGGATCTATGCAAACACCCTGATGTTGACATGCCCAAAGGGTACAAGCCTCCAAAGTTTTACTTCTTTGATAGGACAGGCGATCCCCACGCTCACTTGAGGGCATACTGTGACAAGTTTGTCGAAATAGGGAGAAACAAAAAGTTAAGAATGAAACGGTTTATAAGAAGCTTGATTGGGGAAGCGCTTACTTGGTACAACAAGCAGGACCCCATAAGTTGGAGGGAGTGGTAGGACATGGCCGATAAATTCATGAACCGCTTCAGGTTTGACACTGAGATTACCCCGGACAGATTCGCTTTGGTAAATCTATAAAAGAAGCCTTCCAAGTCTGCTCCAAGAATATGCTCGTCGTTGGAGATCAGAAGCTGCTAGGGGATAACCTCTATTGGATAATAACGAGCTGACTAAGTATTTCATCAATGCTCAAGAAGGAATTTACTTCGAGGAGATGACGGGGATGATGGGTTAGAAGTTCCTTGAGCTAGTCAAAATGGGAAACTTTCTGGAAGAAGGCATTAAGTCTAGGAAGATACAGTCAATGGTTGTACTACAGGCTGCTAGTAAGGCTATACAGTCTGGTTTCATCGGCAGGGGGAAGAAGAAGAAAGAAGAAGTGACGGAGATTATCCCTTACTATCAGTCGAGTCCTCCTCGTCGAACCAACCCCTACCCCACATACACCCAACATCCACATCAACCCACTTATACCCTAGTATATAATGCCCAATCATACTACAATACTAAACCCCACTACAACCCGCCCCGAGACAATATACATCCAAACCCACCACGACCATATGCTCTCGTTCAAACTATCACTCACCAAAATAGACCTGCCTATGCACCCAGATCATGCCCAAACTTTAAAGAAAGGAACCCCAAAACATTTACCCCAATTGCTAAGCCTTTGGCACAATTATGTGAGAGGCTGAGAAGAGTCGGACTAATATACCTGATGGAAGGGAGAATCCCCGACCAATCCAGCAAGTATTTTGACGAAAGTAAGCGTTGTGCCTATCATTTAGGTATTCCTGGACATGACACCGAGGATTGTTAGAGGTTGAATAATGAGATCAAAATTCTGATTAAGAGTGGAGTTATCCACTGCACCCCAGCCCCACGAAATGGAAACCATAACCCACTATTAAACCACAAAAACCAAGGTACATGATCACATTGGACGAGGACTATTACTTGAAAGGGACTATCATCACTATTGGGAATGCTGAAGCAGCAAGAACACCCCCTCGGACAACTCTATTGATCACTGTGCAGCTAAAACCCTGTGATGGTTCAGATATACCAACAACGGCCCATCGCAACCATTAGAGATGATGGGAGTCAAGAATATAAAACAGTCCTATGGACTTATCAATCGAAGGGAAGGGGAAAAATGACAGACACCACAACCACTCATGAGATGACTAGGTCAAGAAGTTGTTACGCTCCAGAAGAGGTAAACCGAGGAAATCTGAATAGGGAGCAGAATCCGAGGAGAAACATAACTAATGCGGAGGCAACAGAATTTTGGAGAAAGATGCTGGTTAAAGAATACTCCATAGAATAACAGTTGAGGAAGACCCTTCCTACATATTAATTATGGACTTACCGATGAGTTCCGATAGTCATAGGGAAGCTCTAGTAAAGGTGTTGAGCGGAGTAAGTGTACCGGGAAATACCACCAGTGAGGCACTAGCAACAACTATTAGGAAGATGGTGGAGGCAAACAAGATTTCCTTTCGGAGGAATGAACTTCCTGTGGAGGGGATGGATCACAATAAGGCTCTGCACATCACTGTCAAGTGTGGAGACAAAGTCGTATCTCGGGTACTTGTTGATGGTGGATCTAGAGTAAACATTTGCCCATTCTCTACTCTATGATAATTGGAATTCATTTGAGGGAATTAAAAGAGAGTCATGAGAGAGTAAGGGCTTTCGATAGGTCACAGTAGGATGTCATCGAGGAAATATACCTAATCTTGCAAATTGGACCAGTTGAGTTACCAATATTTTTTCAACTAATGGATATTTTGTCTTCATACAATATATTACAGGGAAGTCCTTAGATACATATGGCACGCAGTTCCTTTTATAGAAGGATTGGATGGGGTCAACTTCCATTTAGTCGAGATCATGCAAGCGACAAAAATGAAGGCGAATGAATAGGATCACAATATGTAGTCACCGTATAGGTCAAAAATGGTAACAAGAAAAATGATGAAGTATGGAAACCGACCAGGGACCGGGCTGGGAGCCCGATTAGATGGAATAAAAGAGCCAATTCAACCCAAGGGGCAGAAAGGTACCGCCGGCTTAGGATACCAACCTAAAACTGTAAGAACCTATAACCATAACACTAGGAAGGAGGTTTTTGTACCAAATCATGTTCGGTGCCCGGGTCAGAGCTCACCACCAAAAGAAGATATCATCGACGGGATGGGAAGATTGATCGTGACCATGATCGCGGAATGTTGCAGCGAAGCTGATGTCAAGATACCGACCATTCGAGATGTCGAACCAGGAGAGACCTTGCAGAACTAGATAGCCAGTCCATCTCTAGTTTGCCAAGATTCTTGGTAGTGTAGAATTGTAGTAATTGTGAAAACCGCATGGTCAACTGAGGCATGAACCATGCCTGTGCATTTTTGTTAAATTGCCTCTTTGAACGCTGAGACGTTCCTTTTAATGAAATAAAATAATTATTTTTTTGAAAATCATCATGAATTTACCTTTATTTTTATTTATACTCAATTTTTCTTTTCAATAATCAAATTGATTAAAAAAACCTGTGTTCCGTGATTATGACATGTAACGAAACTCTTGAGCAAAACGATCCAGATTACGAAAAGTATGACGAGAGTATATGCCCGAGAACCTACTGCAAGAGATCGAGCAGCTAGAAATCCTGAAGACGCCCAATCTTGAAGAGACAGAAGTGATCAATCTATGAAGTGAAGAAGAGGTAAAAGAGACTCGAATCAGCGTCCATTTGAAAGCAGAACAAAAGGAAGAATTGATAGAGCTCCTCCGACAAGACATCAATGTATTCACTTGGTCATATGACGACATGCCCGGATTAAGTACCAACATTGTTTCACATCGATTGCCCACCTATCCCGCCAGACCACCGGTCAAGCAGAAACCTAGAAACTTCAAGCCAGATCTAAGTCTAAGGATCAAAGAAGATGTCACTAAGCAGATATAAGCAAACGTGGTAAGGGCCACTAATAACCATGCCTGGTTGGCAAACATCATACCAAAGCCAAAGAAGGACAATACTAAAGATGAGGTAAGGGCTTATGAGATTGTAGCATGTTCAGCATTGATTCTGGTGCGGTTTGATGTCCTTCAACGCTTGTCAATCCTACACTCAAAGAAAATTTCTTAGCAGGGGGTGTTGATTTATGTTGATCGTAGACCTAGCCTTGCCCCGTATCTGGTGAATTGTACCACGAAGTTCGGTAGGTGGAAGAGTAGAATTTCTTTTAAAAGTTTTTTTGCAAAATCCTGTATGTTTATGCAAAGTGTCGTTGTTCCGGATTATGACATGTTTAGAAGCTCCTTCTGATGTGAGTATCATTTCTGGATGTCTCCGCTTCTTTGCTAGTGCTATCCTAGATGTGCCCTTGATGACATAGCTTCCTGCCGACGCGTTTACTTCCTAATCTAGGTAATGCATTACAAAGGCTTTCCTAGGATTATGACCGAACCTTTTCAGGTTGCCCACGTATCCGAGCGGAATCAGGTCTGAATATAGTTCGAGGATATGAGAGGATGATGAAATGGAATGGAATGGCGGAGTATAACTCAAGCAGTGTATGTATCTGAATGGAATCAGGTCAGAACGTATT